TAGGAGGGAGAGTGAGGGAGGGACGGAGGGCAGGCTAGGAGGGAGAGTGAGGGAGGGACGGAGGGCAGGCTAGGAGGGAGAGTGAGGGAGGGACGGAGGGCAGGCTAGGAGGGAGAGTGAGGGAGGGACGGAGGGCAGGCTAGGAGGGAGAGTGAGGGAGGGACGGAGGGCAGGCTAGGAGGGAGAGTGAGGGAGGAAGAGGAGGAGATAAGGAACAAGATTGGGAGGTAGCAGGTAGGTAGAGAGGTGGTTGGAAGGTAGGTGGGGAGGGAGGTGCTAGGGGAAAGAGGGGGGCGAAGGGAGATAAAGAGATAGGGAGGTATGGAGGGGGAGAGAGAGAGAGGTAGAGAGAGAGAGAGAGAGAGAGAGAGAGAGAGAGAGAGAGAGAGAGAGAGAGAGAGAGAGAGAGAGAGAGAGAGAGAGAGAGAGAGAGAGAGAGACAGTGATGCAGCAGGGAGGGAGGGAGAGATACACATCTGCTGATCAATATTCTCTGCTGTAGTATAGCCCGGCGAGAAAGGCGGAGCTCATGTGAAATAAGAGAACAAGATAGTGTACATAAATGACACTGACGATAGTAACTGTAATTATAATCATTTATAATATTGTCATAAGATCAACTACAACAAAACACACTCATGTCAATGATAATAATTATGTTGTTACATTATCATACATAATTATTAACATAACTGATGGACAAGTCACAGCCCCGCTCCTGTGCCAGGTAAGTCCATTACGGGCTCACCATAGCCCGTGCTACTTGGAGCTTTTTGTTTCTAGTTGCTGAATCTTAAACAACAACAACAAATTGATGAATTAATAAATATTATAACCACCAGAGAGAGAATATAGCCCACACGTAATAACAAATAATACACAGTGTCTCCCATGATGGATGGATCAGTCAGGTTGTGGAGGTTGTCCCTGGATCCCAGCAGCACGAGGCCAAGGGGGTCCAATCCTACAATCGTACATACACATGACGGTTTCCCAGAAGCTCGTTTTCCAATCGTCAAAACCGTATATATCTTTAGATATATACGGGATATATATACATATATCTATATGTATATAGAGATTTCGGGAGCCGGTCGGTCGAGCGGACAGCACGCTGGACTTGTGATCCTGTGATCCCGGGTTCGATCCCGGGCACCGGCGAGAAACAATGGGCAGAGTTTCTTTCACTCTATGCCCCTGTTACCTAGCAGTAAAATAGGTACCTGGGAGTTAGTCAGTTGTCACGGGCTGCTTCCTGGGGGTGGAGGCCTGGTCGAGGACCGGGCCGTGGGGACACTAAAGCCCCAAAATCATCTCAAGATAACCTACTCCATTACGAGCACCCGTGCAGATAATTCCCCATAAACCGTAAAGGACCCGAGTCCATTAATCATGGGGGCCGTGCACCCACACCCAGGGTAATGACACACTAACCGCTCCATGATCCATACTCTCCAGTACTGAGACATTGTTGTACAATCTCTCTCACCGTATACACGTGTGCGCACGCGCGTGTGTGTATTTACTATTTGTATCTCTAGAATCGAGCTATTACCTCTTGGGGCTCCGCCTTTCTAACCAATTTATTTTCCCTCTATTATGTCTATTACTACTATTAACAGTCTCCGTGACTTAGTGGTAAGACTCTCGCCTGGGGTTCCGCGAACGCTTTGTCCTGGGTTCGTATCCTGGCCGGGGAGGATTGACTAGGCGCAAATCCTTAACTGTAGCCTCTGTTTAACAGTAAAATGTGTACCTGGTTGTTAAACAATTATTCGCGGGTCGTATTCCAGGGAACACAGGATTAAGGACCTGCCTGAAACGCTACACGTACTAGTGGCTGTACAAGAATGTAACAACTCTTGTATATATAAATAAAAAAAAACTATATATATTTCTCTCTAACACACGCGCACACACACACACACACATTCCCAGATGAAATCTCCCGTTGGATACTAAAGGAAGGAGCAGAAGAACTGTGCCTGCCACTCTCCATAGTGTACAACAATCACTGGCAACAGGAGAACTGCCAGAAATTTGGAAAGCAGCTAACGTAGTCCCGATTTACAAGAAAGGGGATAGACAGGAGGCACTGAACATTAGGCCAGTGTCCCTAACCTGCATACCATGCAAGCTGATGGAGAAGATTGTGCGAAGAAAGCTAGTGGAGCACCTGGAGCTAAAGAACTTTGTAACACAGCATCAACACGGGTTCAGGGATGGCAGGTCCTGCTTCACAGGGTTACTTGAATTCTACGACCAGGCAACAAAAATAAGGCAAGAAAGAGAAGGGTGGGCAGACTGCATATTTTTGGATTGTCAGAAAGCCTTTGATACAGAACCACACAAGAGGCTAGTGAAAAAGCTGGAGATGCAGGCTGGAGTGAAAGGGAAGGTACTCCATTGGATAAAGGAGTACCTAAGCAACAGGAGACAAGGAGTCAATGTGAGGGGGTGAGGTCTCAGATTGGCGAGACGTTACAAGTGGAGTCCCGCAGGGGTCAGTCCTTGGACCTATACTGTGTCTGATATATGTAAATTATCTCCCAGAGGGTATAGACTCTTTTTTTCTCAATGTTTGCTGATAATGCAAAAATTATGAGGAGGATTGAAACAGAGGATGATAGTAGGAGGCTACAAGATGACCTAGACAGTCTGAGTGAATGGTCCAACAAATGGCTGTTAAAGTTCAACCCAAGTAAATGCAAAGTAATGACCTTAGGCGGTGGAAACGGGAGGCCAGACGCAGGATACAGAATAGGAGATGAAGTACTTAATGAAACGGACAGAGAGAAAGATCTAGGAGTTGATATCACACCAAACCTGTCTCCCGAAGCCCACACAAAAAAGAATAACGTCTGCGGCATATGCGAGGCTGGCTGACATCAGAACAGCGTTCAGGAACCTGTGTAAGGAATCATTCAGAATCTTGTATACCGCATATGTAAGACCAATCCTGGAGTATGCAGCCCCAGCATGGAGCCCGTACCTTGTCAAGCACAAGACGAAGCTGGAAAAAGTTCAAAGGTATGCCACTAGACTAGTCCAAGAACTAATTAAGAGGCATGAGTTACGAGGAAAGGCTGCGGGAAATGCACCTCACGACACTGGAAGACAGAAGAGTAAGGGGAGACATGATCACTACCTAGAAAATCCTCAGGGGAATCGACCGGGTAGACAAGGATAAACTATTCAACACTGGTGGTACGTGAACAAGGGGACACAGGTTGAAACTGAGTACCCACATGAGCCACAGGGACGTTAGAAAGAAATTTTTCAGTGTCAGAGTAGTTAACAGATGGAATGCATTAGGCAGTGATGTGGTGGAGGCTGACTCCATACACAGTTTTAAATGTAGATATGATAGAGCCCAGTAGGCTCAGGAATCTGTACATCAGTTGATTGACAGTTGAGAGGCGGGACCAAAGAGCCAGAGCTCAACCCCCGCAAGCACAAATAGGTGTGTACAAATAGGTGAATAGGTGAGTACACACACATCTCCAGGAAGCAGCCTGTAACAGCTGTCTAACTCCCAGGTACCTATTTACTGCTAAGTGAACAGACACATCAGGATTAAAGAAACTGTCCGTTTGTTTCTGCCTCTGCCGGGGATCGAATCCGGGCCCTTAGGACTACGACCCCAGACTACGACTGAGTCTACGTCTACGACAGAGTGGACAACGTCCACTCAGCCACCGCCGCGCGCGCGTGCGTGTGCGCGTGATCAAACCTGCTCTAAGCATCAATATACTTAGTTCTTTCCTGGAAGTCTAATATATAAACTGCTGATCCATTTGCTAACAAAAATTAAATAGACAAAGATAACATTACAAAAAAACTGCCGTCTTTGGCAAAATGTTTTTCATCCTTTCTGGAAAATGATAAATGTAGGCTAATGTGTCTGAGCCGGTGTTGCAGCCGGTGTTGCAGCCGGTGTTGTAGCCGGTGTTGTAGCCGGTGTTGTAGCCGGTGGTGCAGCCTGTGTTGCAGTTGGTGTTGCAGCCGGTGTTGCAGCCGGTGTTGTAGCCGGTGTTGTAGCCGGTGTTGCAGCCGGTGTTGTAGCCGGTGGTGCAGCCTGTGTTGCAGCCGGTGTTGTAGCCGGTGTTGCAGCCGGTGTTGCAGCCGGTGTTGTAGCCGGTGTTGTAGCCGGTGTTGTAGCCGGTGTTGCAGCCAGTGTTGCAGCCGGTGTTGTAGCCGGTGTTGTAGCCGGTGTTGTAGCCGGTGGTGCAGCCTGTGTTGCAGTTGGTGTTGCAGCCGGTGTTGCAGCCGGTGTTGTAGCCGGTGTTGTAGCCGGTGTTGCAGCCGGTGTTGTAGCCGGTGGTGCAGCCTGTGTTGCAGCCGGTGTTGTAGCCGGTGTTGCAGCCGGTGTTGCAGCCGGTGTTGTAGCCGGTGTTGTAGCCGGTGTTGTAGCCGGTGTTGCAGCCGGTGTTGCAGCCGGTGTTGTAGCCGGTGTTGTAGCCGGTGTTGTAGCCGGTGGTGCAGCCTGTGTTGCAGTTGGTGTTGCAGCCGGTGTTGCAGCCGGTGTTGTAGCCGGTGTTGTAGCCGGTGTTGCAGCCGGTGTTGTAGCCGGTGGTGCAGCCTGTGTTGCAGCCGGTGTTGTAGCCGGTGTTGCAGCCGGTGTTGTAGCCGGTGTTGTAGCCGGTGGTGCAGCCTGTGTTGCAGCCGGTGTTGTAGCCGGTGTTGCAGCCGGTGTTGTAGCCGGTGTTGTAGCCGGTGGTGCAGCCTGTGTTGCAGCCGGTGTTGCAACCGGTGTTGCAGCCGGTGTTACAGCCAGTGTTGCAGCCGGTGTTGCAACGTGTCGGTGAGCCGGACACCTGTCACCATCCATCACCTCACACCTCTTCACTCAATAACACCGGCAATGTATACCTTTGCCTTGCATATCCTTGCATATCCGGTCACACCATGACGCCCACACAAATATCCGGCCACACCATGACGCCCACACAAATATCCGGCCAGATCATGACGCCCACACAAATATCCGGCCACACACCATGACGCCCACACAAATATCCGGCCAGACCATGGCGCCCACACAAATATCCGGCCACACCATGACGCCCACACAAATATCCGGCCACACCATGACGCCCACACAAATATCCGGCCAGATCATGACGCCCACACAAATATCCGGCCACACCATGACGCCCACACAAATATCCGGCCAGACCATGGCGCCCACACAAATATCCGGCCACACCATGACGCCCACACTAATATCCGGCCACACCATGACGCCCACACAAATATCCGGCCAGATCATGACGCCCACACAAATATCCGGCCACACCATGACGCCCACACAAATATCCGGCCAGATCATGACGCCCACACAAATATCCGGCCACACCATGACGCCCACGCAAATATCCGGCCAGACCATGGCGCCCACACAAATATCCGGCCACACCATGATGCCCACACAAATATCCGGCCACACCATGACGCCCACACAAATATCCGGCCACACCATGACGCCCACACAAATATCCGGCCAGATCATGACGCCCACACAAATATCCGGCCACACCATGGCGCCCACACAAATATCCGGCCAGATCATGACGCCCACACAAATATCCGGCCACACGCGGGACAGTCATCTACACATTAACCGGCGGTGCCCGGGTCTCTCAACGGTAGTTAGTTGCTCAAGCAGCATGTTCCTTCACTGATCTCATGCTGGTGTTTGGAGACAAAGTTTATACATTCTGTGTTGTGCGAACCTTTTCCTGTCTCGCTAGTACTTTATAGGAGATACCAGCTAGGTGTATCCACCTAGTTGTATTCACCTAGTTGTATTCACCTAGTTGTGCTTGCGGGGGTTGAGCTTTGCTCTTTCGGCCCGCCTCTCAACTGTCAATCAACTGTTTACTACTTTTTTTTCTCCACACCACACACACACACACACACACACACACACACACCAGGAAGCAGCCCGTGACAGCTGACTAACTCCCAGGTACCTATTTACTGCTAGGTAACAGGGTGAAAGAAACTTTGCCCATTTGTTTCTGCCTGGTGCGAGAATCGAACCCGAGCCACAGATTTACGAGTCCTGCGCGCTATCCACCAGGCTACCAGGCCCCTGTGTGTGTGTGTGTGTGTGTACTCACCTAATTGTACTCACCTAATTGTGCTTGCGGGGGTTGAGCTCTGGCTCTTTGGTCCCGCCTCTCAACCGTCAATCAACTGGTGTACAGATTCCTGAGCCTATTGGGCTCTATCATATCTACATTTGAAACTGTGAATGGAGTCAGCCTCCACCACATCACTTCCTAATGCATTCCATTTGCTAACTACTCTGACACTGAAAAAGTTCTTTCTAACGTCTCTGTGGCTCATTTGGGTACTCAGCTTCCACCTGTGTCCCCTTGTTCGCGTCCCACCAGTGTTGAAAAGTTCGTCCTTGTTTACCCGGTCGATTCCCCTGAGGATTTTGTAGGTTGTGATCATGTCTCCCCTTACTCTTCTGTCTTCCAGTGTCGTGAGGTGCATTTCCCGCAGCCTTTCCTCATAACTCATGCCTCTTAGTTCTGGGACTAGTCTAGTAGCATACCTTTGGACTTTTTCCAGCTTCGTCTTGTGCTTGACAAGGTACGGGCTCCATGCTGGGGCCGCATACTCCAGGATTGGTCTTACATATGTGGTGTACAAGATTCTGAATGATTCCTTACACAGGTTCCTGAACGCCGTTCTGATGTTAGCCAGCCTCGCATATGCCGCAGACGTTATTCTCTTTATGTGGGCTTCAGGAGACAGGTTTGGTGTGATATCAACTCCTAGATCTTTCTCTCTGTCTGTTTCATTAAGTACTTCATCTCCTATTCTGTATCCTGTGCCTGGCCTCCTGTTTCCACTGCCTAGTTTCATTACTTTGCATTTACTCGGGTTGAACTTCAACAGCCATTTGTTGGACCATTCACTCAGTCTATCCAGGTCATCTTGTAGCCTCCTACTATCATCCTCTGTTTCAATCCTCCTCATAATTTTTGCATCGTCGGCAAACATTGAGAGGAACGAATCTATACCCTCTGGGAGATCATTTACATATACCAGAAACAGTATAGGTCCGAGGACTGACCCCTGCGGGACTCCACTTGTGACGTCTCGCCAATCTGAGACTTCACCCCTCACACAGACTCGTTGTCTCCTGTTGCTTAGGTATTCCTCTATCCACCGGAGTACCTTCCCTCTCACTCCAGCCTGCATCTCCAACTTTCGCACTAGCCTCTTGTGTGGCACTGTATCAAAGGCTTTCTGACAACTATGTGTGTGTGTGTGTGTGTGTGTGTGTGTGTGTGTGTGTGTGTGTGTGTGTGTGTGTGTGTGTGTGTGTGTGTGTGTGTGTGTGAGTGTGTGTGTGAGTGTGTGTGCGTGTGCGCGTGCGTGCTGGCATAGTTGTGCTTGCAGGGAAAAGCGTGTTCTCTCAAGTCCCGCTTTACAACCATCACAGTTTCAATGTAGTGATTCCTTTCACTTTTCTTTTGTCGTGAAATGGCTTTGACACCTTCCTCAGCTACTGCCTTCCACTTACTGACCACTCTAAAACTGAGAAAGTTTCTGCTGATATCTCCGTGACCTGACTGTGTTTTGTTATTTTCCATCTGTCTAGTTCTGGCCCTCAACACCCACCCTGGCCCTCAACACCCACCCTGGCCCTCAACACCCACCCTGGCCCTCAACACCCACCCTGGCCCTCAACACCCACCCTGGCCCTCAACACCCACCCTGGCCCTCAACACCCACCCTGGCCCTCAACACCCACCCTGGCCCTCAACACCCACCCTGGCCCTCAACACCCACCCTGGACCTCAACACCCACCCTGGACCTCAACACCCACCCTGGCCCTCAACACCCACCCTGGCCCTCAACACTCACCCTGGCCCTCAACACCCACCCTGGCCCTCAACACCCACCCTGGACCTCAACACCCACCCTGGCCCTCAACACCCACCCTGGCCCTCAACACTCACCCTGGACCTCAACACCCACCCTGGCCCTCAACACCCACCCTGGCCCTCAACACTCACCCTGGCCCTCAACACCCACCCTGGCCCTCAACACTCACCCTGGCCCTCAACACCCACCCTGGACCTCAACACCCACCCTGGACCTCAACACCCACCCTGGCCCTCAACACCCTGGCCCCACCCTGGCCCTCAACACTCACCCTGGCCCTCAACACCCACCCTGGCCCTCAACACCCACCCTGGACCTCAACACCCACCCTGGCCCTCAACACCCACCCTGGCCCTCAACACCCACCCTGGCCCTCAACACCCACCCTGGCCCTCAACACCCACCCTGGCCCTCAACACTCACCCTGGCCCTCAACACCCACCCTGGCCCTCAACACCCACCCTGGACCTCAACACCCACCCTGGCCCTCAACACCCACCCTGGCCCTCAACACCCACCCTGGCCCTCAACACCCACCCTGGCCCTCAACACTCCTGCCTGCAACACCTAAATTATTCAGTGTTGACCTTTATTATCAAGTGTTTCAGGCTCGGGATCACACATTGTATTTTTGTATTTAACATCAGTATTTGTCTGGGAATGTGCTATTGACTCGTGCCCAGCTATTGTCGCTAGTTCCTTCAGTAGAATGATTGTAGTCAGCTATTGTTGCTAGTTATTCCTACATACAGTGTTGGCCGCCTGCGTGATGTGGGGTTTACTGGTGAAGTGTTGATGGAACTGATGGTTGGTGATGGAGGAGCAGGGGGGGGGGCGGGGCATGGGGTCCGTGGAGGTACCTGGAGTGGGTCTCTAAGAGTTATTCTACTCCCCGAGCTCCGCCTGAGACAAAGATCGACATGTGATAACTTGGTCCAACAGGCTGTTGCTTGGAGCGGCTCGCAGGCCCACATACCAACCACAACCGGCTTGGTCCGGCACTTCTTGCAAGAACCTATCTAATTATTTTTTTGAACAAGTCTACCTTTGTTGTTGTGGCCGTATTTCTAATGCTTACTGGCTGAGTACTCAATAGCCGTGGACCTCTGGTGTTCAGACAGTGCTTTCTGACTTTGCCTTTGGCACCTTTACTATTCACTGGCTTTGTTCTGCATTTCCTTCTGTATCTTTCGCTCCAGTATGTTGCTCTTTTACCTTACAAATTTGGAATCTGGCCTTGGGAGCCAGTCGGCCGAGCGGACAGCACGCTGGACTTGTGATCCTGTGGTCCTGGGTTCGATCCCAGGCTCCGGCGAGAAACAATAGGCAGAGTTTCTTTCACCCTATGCCCCTGTTACCTAGCAATAAAATAGGTACCTGGGAGTTAGTCAGCTGTCACGGGCTGCTTCCTGGGGGTGTAGGCCTGGTCGAGGACCGGGCCGCGAGGACACTAAAAAGCCCCGAAATCATCTCAAGATAACCTCAAGATAACCAGTATCTTCCATGTATATATTATTTGATACCTCTCCCGTCTCCTTTCCAGATACTGCATTTTGAGAGTTTTGAGGCGTTCAAAATAATTTAGGTGTTTTATTGTGTCTGTGCGTGCCGTATACGTTCTCTAGTCCCTCTTATTTCAGCAGCCTCTCCTCATTTGAAAAAAGAAGTGGGTACTGAGCAGTACTTAGGACCGAAGAGCATCAGTGATTTATATAGTATTAATATTGTGGGGTCTCTTTGACCGGTCGCATAATCCATCCAATCATTTTCCTGCCTGACGCTGTATTTGCTGCTTGGTTATGTGCACTAAACGTCAGGTCGTCAGACACCATAATTATTAGGGCAGAGTCAATGGTACAGCAGGCGGACAGTGGGCAGGGACTCGTCCTCCACCCGACGGACCCGTCCTCCACCCGACGGACCCGTCCTCCACCCGACGGACCCGTCCTCCACCCGACGGACCCGTCCTCCACCCGACGGACCCGTCCTCCACCCGACGGACCCGTCCTCCACCCGACGGACCCGTCCTCCACCCGCAGCTCAAGTATTCAAAGACTGGAGTCTTGAACGATCAGGGCAGAAATACAACCTATAATTCTTGCCTTTGAAACCTCATCTTCCTCAAAATATTTCAAAGTTGCACGTAAATTCCATGAAAATAAAGCCGGATATAAACTGCACAACCTGGACACAATTTGGCCTCTCAGAATATCACATCAACAATCTTATAAATGCAGCCAGAAGCTCACACTCTGGAAATAATCATTATTGCATCTTGACCTTGCAACAGTTGCCAGGGGACAATACGAGCCCCCCCCCCACCCTCCACACACACACACACACACACACACACACACACACACACACACACACACACACACACACACACACACACACACACATGTAATGTGTGGAGGCTGACTCCATACACAGTTTCAAGTGTAGATATGATAGAGCCCAATAGGCTCAGGAACCTGTACACCTGTTGATTGACGGTTGAGAGGCGGGACCAAAGAGCCAGAGCTCAACCCCCGCAAGCACAATTAGGTGAGTACAATTTGGTGAGTACACACACGCGGGCTCGCGCGTGCACACGCACACAGCATAAACATAGAGGAAGACAAATAGTAACACAAAAATATGGAGTGTCTTTGGTATTGTGCGTGAAGAGTGTTGTGCTTCAATATTGTCAGTGTAAAGAGCGCAGTTTTGTCTAGCTGAGCGACACAATACTGGGCCGGGGGCACCGGGCCACTCTCCTATCCTCCGCAC